TATGCAAGGATTGGCGACATGCTGCTGGAGCGCAGCGCTGGACTGAAGCAGCGCTGCTTGGAGGTGAAGGTCCGCTGGGGCTCAGCCTGGCTATGGCGAGCACCCCAGCTTGAAGGAGGAAGAAGGGGGACATGGTAGGAGAGTGGTAGGGCACTTACCTGGCTATGGTGGACACCGTCTTCATTACCTCGTTGGGCGCTGCATCTGGAAGGCCCCGGTTGGGGTAACGCTGCACCAGGGCAGCTCGAGGCAGAGTCAGGCATAGTGGACCAAGTCAAGCAGCAACATAGCTGCTTTGGGTTGTCTTTCGGGCATCAGGGCAGCATCATAGCTGCCTTCCAGTAGTCCGCCACGGCCTATGCCTGAGAGAAGAGGTTGAAGGAGGGAAGACATAGCTATGGTGGACTGGTTGTTGTTGTTGTGTTGTTGTTGAGTTGAGTCAGCAGTAAGAGGGAACTTCGGACATTGATTCTGGTTCATCCATTCATTGTTATTATTATTATTGAGAGAAGAATAAGACTGGTGAAGAGAAGGAGGAAGGAGGAAGGAGGAGAGAGAAGGGGGAATTGTCATTGGTCTTGCTGGTGTACTTCTTCTTCTTCTTCTTCTTCTTCTTCTTCTTCTTCTTTATCTCTCCTCTGGTCTTTATCTCTTTGCAAGTGCTTTCATTTCTTTCGCAATTGGGTGGCATTGTCTTTCATTGTGAATTTGCACTTGGGAAATGACCAGGATCGTAACAATTGCCTATTTTCCGCTATTTTTTCTTTTGTTTTGACTGCGACTTCGCAACATCCCATAACTCGGCGTTTAGGAACTCGACGCATAGTAGAAAAGACCGCACCACACACAGTAGAAAAGACCGCACCGCCCTACTACCTTTGCGTCCCTGGGCGAGACCGGCACAGGCTGGTTATGCTCTGCTGTACAGCAGGGCGTTGAGTCTGCGTGGACCAAGGGAAAGTCCAGTGGTGCACCCCTCGTTTTTGCCAATGGATGCGCCAGCCAGGACCAGTCCAGAAACGTGCCACGGCCCACAGGGCAGACCGGGTAAAACAGGGTGCAGGCCCAGGCCCCGGCCCCAACGGAGAGGTGTAGATTGCAAATTTGCGCCCTGGCCTGATAGGGGCACATTGCAAACATCTCAACTTCGAGGGGTATAACGCAAATTTTCCATCCAAAAAAAAACAAAACCTTATTTTTGGTTCCCGCCGACGGTCGTGACACAATAGTGCCGAACTTCCCAACTACATGGTGCTTGTGGGACCCAGGCAGCCCAGATTCTGAGCGGCACTCCGGGAAAGGAATAGGCAGGTTTATGGAGCAGAGTATGAGCTGCGTGCAAACGCTTATGCGGAAGTCCTTGCGCAAGCATGACACACATAGATTGAGAAATGGTCCAAATCGGGAAAAAAGGAAGTGCACTGTCCGTCTCCCAACGGTGCTGTGCTTCAAGACCTTGAAAGTTTGCGCAGCGTGGCGAAGATCTCTCTCTCCTAGAACGGATACGAAATACGTAAGTTTGCGCAGCGTGGCGAAGATCTCTCTCTCTCTCTCTCTCTCTCTCTCTCTCTCTCTCTCTCTCTCTCTCTCTCTCTCTCTCTCTCTCTCCACCTCTGTGTCTGCGTGCGATGTTGTGCGTGAAAAGGTGGAGAGTTCCGATAACAATCTGCTAAAAAACGCATTTGGTGGATTGGCGGGGGGTGGCAAGTGCTCTCTCTCTCT